GCCTATCGCACATGAAATGCATAACTGTGCATAAGCATAACATAAGACCGCTGGACCAATGAGCATCCAGCATAAAGACGCCATATTGATTAACATAAGATGCTCATTGGTCCAGCGGCCTTATGTTATGCTTATGCACAGTTATGCATTTCATGTGCGATAGGCCTAACAGTGCATAAACATAACATAAGACCACTGGACCAATGAGCATCATATGTTAATCAATATGGTAACTTTATGCTGAATGCTTATTGGTCCAACAGTTTTTTGTTATGCTCATGCTCTTATTCATTTCATGTGTTTTGGGCTTTATGCATTTTATGTACGATAGGCTTTACTGCCTTAACTTGTGTGCCATGGTCTTACCAGTAGCACTGAATGATTAGGTTAGAAACCCATCCATTCACTAGCGTCTCTATAAAATTATTTCGTAGTTCCAACCACGAAGTTCTCTTTTAGGGTGCGGTCGAGTTGCCACTACGAATTCTTCGAAGCGTTTGATTAACCAATCAGAAGAAAGAATTTTACAAATTAACCAATCAAGAAACGCTTCGAAGTTTCGTAGTGGCAACTCGACCGCACTCTTACTTCGTGGTTCCAACCATGATGGAAATATACAAGGTGAAGTATTCCGTAGGATGCGCAGTCGTTCATATCACGTGATGTCTCGAGCCAATCAGCTTGTCATATCAATTTATCAAATGCATGAAATGAAGATGGCTGCTTTAGTCTAGAGACCCTCTAATCAGAGTCGCGAAAAAACGTCAATAGGTTAGGTCGGCGATACCATTTTTCAGCAAAAACCGGAAGTAACAATTAAATATAATACTACTGCACGTATAAGCACCATCGTAGTTGCAATGAAAAGACTATGGCCGGTATTCATAGTCAGTTCTTATATTCAAGACCGTCTTATGGCGAATTCGATTGGATGCACTAGTGCGCACTAGTGCGCACTGAGTGCACCTGAGTTCATCTTTCTTCCTTTTCTTTCCAGGAGAAGGGAAAAGGAAAAAAGATGAACTGGTGCAATCCAATCGAATTCGCCATTAAGTTCAGTCTTGAAGAGTTACGAACCAATCAGAGGGCCGCTTTAGCATCTTAAGACATTACTCAGGAAGTAAGATATAAGGAGACTCCACTCCGTAAAATAAAAGTGGACCCATTTTAGGTTTCGAGTTCAGCTTCCGATTCTGATGAGTGCGAGTAAGAGAAATGATCATTTCTCTTACTCGCACTCATTATGCGCAGCACTACTAAATTCACGAACGCTGCGAGTGTCGAGAATCGGAAACGGAACTCGAAACCTAAACTGGGTTCATGTCTTGTAGACTGGCGAGACCGAGTGGAGTCTCCTTATATCTTCCTTTATGACATTACTTAAGACAGTCTTCAAATAAGAACTGACTATGAATACCGGCCTATGATTGTGATACATTAACACCTAATACATGTAAATATAAATACAGTTATCAGAAAGAAATTACATTATTATTGTATTTTATATTAATACTGTATTTCATAAAATTATATTTTTTAAAATGACTGATTGTTCTGCGCCAGACTGCAACAATTCTGCAAAAA